AGACCCAAAAAACTCTGCCAAAGACTTCTAGACTTAGTTGACACTTTCAACAGAGTAGCTGGATACAAGGTCAACACTCAAAAATGAATAGCCTTCTTGTACACAAATAACAGACTCTCTGAGAGAGAAATTAGGGAAACAATTCCTTTCACAATAGCCAAAAAATAAAATATCTAGGAATAAATCTAACAAAGGAAGCAAAAGACCACTACACTGAAAACAAGAGCACTCTGAAAAAGAGACTGAAGAGGATATAAGAAAATGGAAAGACATTCCTTGTTCCTGCGTAAGAAGCATTAATGATTATGGCCATACTACCAAAACTGCTATACAGATTCAATGCAATTCTGATTGAAATTCCAATATATTTTACAGAAGTAGAGAAAACAATCCAAAAATTCACTTGGAACAAGAAGGGACCTAGAATAGCAAAAGCAATTCTAGGCAACAGAGACTTGACAGTATCACAATCCCCAACTTGAAACTATACCACAAAGCCACCGAGATAAAAACAGCATGGCACTGGCAAAGAAAAAGACCCGAGGATCAGTAGACTAGATTGGAAGATACAGAAACAACTCCAGATGTACTCAGCTACTTCATCTTTGACAAAGGAGTCAACCATCCTCAGTGGAGGAAAGATATCCTCTTTAATAAATTGTGTGGAAACCTGGATTTCAACCTGCCAAAGATTAGATATTTATCTTTCACCATGCACTAAACTAAAATTGAAGTGGATTAAAGATCTAAATATTAAACAAAAACACTAAAATTACTGGAAGAAAAGTTAGGTAGAACTCTCAAAGACAATGCCATAGGAAAAGAATTTATGAACAAATCCTCAGTAGCATGGGAACTAGCACAAAGAATCAACAACTGGGATTTCATCTTATTAAAATGCTTCTGCACTGGGCCTGGGATTTAGCTCAGTGGTTTTGCTGCCTTCCTTGAAAGCTCAAGGGCCTGAGTTCGATCACTAGTACCAAAAAACCCCAAAAAACCCCAAACCAAAAACACTTCTGCATTGCAACAGAAACCACCAACAGAGCTAAGAGACAATGTACAATGTGGGACAAAAATTTTTACCAGCTGCTCCTCAGACAAAGGACTATTATCTAGAATATATAAAGAATGCAAAAAAAAAATCAGACCCACCAAATACAAAGACCCAATTAAAAAATGGGCATCTGAAATGCATCGACATTTTTTAAACAAGTAGAGTAGCAAATGAATATATGAAAAAATGTTCCATATCACTCCTCGAGAGGTGCAGATGAGAACAACACTGAGATTCCTCCTCACCCCACAAAGAATGGCTGCTATCAAGAAATCAATAACAAATGCTGGCGGGGTTGTGGGGAGAAAGGAACCCTTCTCCATTGTTGGTGGGAGTGCAGACTGGTGCAACTACTGTGGAAATCAATATGGAGAAACCCCAAACAACTAGGATTAGAGGTTCCATTTGACCCAGCTATCCCTCTACTGGGTATCTTTTCAAAAGAATTAAAATAATCATACCACAGTGACATATGCTCACCTATGTTTATCGTGGCACAGTTTGTAATAGCTAAAACTTGGAAACAGCCTAATTGCCCATCAACTGGAGACTAAAGATGTGGTTTATCTACACAGTGGAGTACTACTCAGCCATAAAGAATGAGAAACTAGCGTCATTTTTAGGAAAATGGATGCATATTGAGGCCATACTCTTAAGTGAAATAAATAGGATACACATGTGTAAATACTGAATAGTTTCTCTGGTGTGAAAAACTAAAAGTGTAAATAAGATTCAAATTGTATAACTGATAATGTGAAATAGGAAGATAAGGGCTAACGATGTAGAGGAAGTAGGAAGGGTAGGGAAAAGAAAAAATATGAGAAAAATAAAAAATGGAAACAGTTTTTGTAAATAGGGGAGGGTGGAAGGGGTGGATGGAGGGCGGTGGTATGGGGAAAAAATGAGAACCAAGACCTGTCATGTAAAGGTACAAGATCCCAACAATGAATGTAACTACTATATACCTAAAATAAAGTACAAATAAACTCAATGCAAAAAAACCCAAAAACCATTTGACCCTTTGGGTCCTGCTTTGAGAATCTGTTGGGTAGGTAGAACAGTGCTCAGTCTACACACAAGATGTAAAGCCTGAACTCTAGCTTATGAATTGCTCTTTGTTCTGTCAGGTGGTGGTAATACTGGGGGTTGAACTCAGGCCTTGGTACTGAGCTATATTCCAATCCTTTCTCTAATTTTAAAATTTGGAGTAGGAACTCACTAAGTCACTAAGTTGTCCAGGTTTGCTCAAATTTGATTCTCCTGCTTTACTCATTCAAAGTGCTTGGCTGGTTAACCCTTGAGTCGTGAGGGATTTTTTTCAGTCTGGTTGGTGGGCCACATGGCCTCCAATTCAGTGTGAGTGCTGCGTACTATTACCTCTAAACCTTTCAAGTAGTTTTTTTTGCCAGCTTCAAGTGGTTTCTTCACAGGCACATGCTGATAGTACTCAGCTGAACATTTGAGGAGTGTATCTTTAGTTCCCTTAGGCTCTCTTTGCTCTACTCTACTGTTGGGTACTGTTATGACAACTACGGTCACTTTTGTCTCTCTGGACTCAGCTTCCTTTCCTCAACTCAGCAAGTCTGCCAGGCACTGTATGAATTCTCCCTGTGTGACCCTCAGACCTATTAACTCTTTAAAGTCAGCAAACTGGAATACTCAGAGGTCTCACTTTGCCTCTTTCCTGTCTCTCAGGGATCAATCACTGTTCTTCTTTGCCTTCTGTGCTGTGCCATGCATAACACTGTTTCGTATCTTTTGTTTGTTTCTGGCATGAAGGCAATTTTGGCCCTCCAAATTGGCGAGAAGTGAAACTTAACTGATTTTTTTCTCCCAGATAAGGGTCACATACATGTTCCCATGTCCAGTATCATTTGACTGCGTGCTAGAAATTACCAACTTTATATTGCTGAATTCTAAATTTTGTCATATTTTTCTTTGAGTGAATTGAAATATTGTGTACTCATATCCTCAGTTTCCCAAACTGATTTCTGTCTCCCCTCAACTCAGGGAAGATTGCTAAGTTCTCCAACTCTCTTTCACTGCAGTTCAGAATTACCTCCAGGCAGAAGCCTCAGAGATGATGACCCTTCTCTCACTTGAATCCTCTGTTTTAGGGATCACATTTTGTGCTATCTGTCTGCGGAGAGCTGTTTCATATATTCTGTTGCATTTTCTAGTGGTAAGAAGGAGAGTGCCTTTGACCCTTTTACTCTCATGGCCAAAAGCAGAAATTTCAATTTATTTCAAATCTGCTAGATCATTTTGATGGGTATGTTGTTATTGTTATGCTGTTTATTTCCATAAAATTTCATATATAAATTTCAAATTACTTCATAAAAATTCAGTCTATAACTCTCTAGAGTTCTTGGTGTGTGAATCTATTGTTTCTTGTTTTTATTTTTATTTTTTTTCCACTAAGTTTATTGGTACATTTAAAGCAAGCAATACAGTTACATTTATCATTGGGATTTTGAACCTTTACACGATATATCTTGGTTGTTTCTTGTTTTTATATATCATCATTCATAGTGATTTATTTCCTGAATGACTGCTGATTTTCATCTGTGAGGGACCTGAGAACCTATACTTTGGAGGTCTCCTTAAGAGGTTAGCATATGACTCTGCTAGAATCTAGGAGGTAGTAGGTAGCTAGCTAGTAGTCAGAGCAACTGACCTAGAACTTCTTTGGGAGCCTTTCAAGGTCTTCTCCTTAATCAAAGATTCTTCAGTTCATCTTCCTGTCTCTGCCTGTATTTATGTTATCAATATATGCCTTCAGGAAGAACAGTTTTCGTATGTACTTACTCCACTACTCCAGGGCTGTTCTTACTCTTTCCCTCTCCTTTTCCCTTTTTCTCTCTCCCCACGACTCCCTCCCTTGAGGATGTTTCCCTTTCTGCAGATGGAACACAAGGCCCCTCACACTATCTAGTGTATCATGATGGCAGAAGTGGAAACCTAGTTTCCTGTTTCAACTCTTTGTCACTACCAACTTGAGATCATACCTTTCCTTGGGCTTCCACTGTGAACTCTGTTTGGAAGACTTTAAAATATATACTTCCAGATTTAGTATTTTTACCATGCTTTAAATCTCACAATCACATGTACCTTTGATTATCTGACTCAAGACTCAATATACCCAAATCAAAAGTACAGTTACTTGTGTTCCATCTCCACAGATGCAAGATTCTTTTTCTATCATTCACAAACCTCAAACATTTCAAATTGGAAGAGAGACCTTAAAAGTTCATTTTAAAAAAGGGAAATGGAGGACCAAGAACATTAAACAGTTTTTTTGCTCAGCATTTCCAATTAACTTTTTGAAAATATCATTGCCATTATGTTCCTTCCTTCTCAACAAACTTTAAAGGTTTCTTTTTTGCCTAATCCTAAGGTAATTGCAGCTCTAATGATCAGGTCCTAGAATTCCTTCACATAAAGTCTCTTTTTACTAAAAACTAGTAACTTCAGTGATTTTCCAGTGTTTACAAGAATTCGAGGTTGGCACTTAAGGATTACCAAAATCTGGCTTATGGTCTACTATATGCAGATATAAAACCTCTGCTTCAAGTAAGCATTTCTGTCCTCCCAAAATGTACTCATCCTCACATCATTCAGCCTTGAAAACTCCTATCCTCATCTAATTCTACTGAAATCCTACCATTCTCTCAAAATAGTTTGACAGTTCCCTTTCTAGTCTCATCAAACCAAAATTAACTTATCCATGTGGATTGTCTAGCAATTTCTGATTTGTAAGGTCATAAAATATTAAATTCTGCTTTGGACTGTGGGTATTTTTCTTCCTATTTTATGTCCTTTAAAAATGTTCCCAGGCAGAAAGCAACTGTTCTGTGTTCCCTGCAATGCCCAGTACAGTGCCTGGCACTTGGAAGCTCAGTGAAGTTGGCCAAAAGAAGTAGGAAACTCGAGAGTCCCTTACCTTGGTGATGTCCGTGTGATCTTTGAGCCCGTTGGTCATGCACCAATATCGCCACACATTCAGGGCGTACCGCGTGGCTTTAGTAGTATTTGGGCTTACTGCACTGGTACACAGATCATTCAAGTCATCATTAATATTAAATACAGGAAATTTGTTGAGCTTAGTGGAATAAGCTAGAAACAAAAACAATACAAGCATTAAAATAATTTGCCATTCCTTTCTTTAAAGAATTACATCTTGGGATCATGTAAACAATGGAGAATTCCTAAAACACTTTGCAAAGTGAAAATTCTATCAAGTATACATATTTTAGGATAAATAAAGGGGACAATGGAATCAATATAGTAACCTTGAATTGAATCGCAACAATTGTTATATGTATTTGTGTATTAATGCAGGCATTTCAATTATAGGAAAATAAATGCTGAGAAATAAAAAATATTTTGTCTAAATGTTTCACTAAAACCCTTGCACTTCAATTTTTAACAAAACAAAAAAGTGAGGAAGGAGGGAAAAAGGGAAGAAGGGAGGGGACATATCTTTAGCACACAAAGAGCTGTCATTTCTTTGTAATACACGGTCTCAAATGATCTATGTACCATCACGGGCAGCCTTGTTAAATGGTCTTAGCTTTCATTTTTTTTTCACATACTAATAAGAAGAAATGTTTAAACGTTACTTCTACAACCCAGCAAATAGCTTCAAATCATAGAGGAAGGTCAAGTGAGAGAGATACTAGGGAAAGAAGGAGGAATACTACAAAAGGGCTCACTTTTCCTCAAAAGAGAGAACACATTTTAAATTGCCAAAAAGAAAACCAAGTCCATAACCATTAGCTTGCCTGTTTAATACTCTTTGACTTGCTAAAACCAGGCTTACCCTGTGCAAAATGTAAATCACTTCAAACTACAAACACTGCCAATCTGTACTTAATGTAAAGGTTCTGACCCTCTCCGGAATGCTGGTGTGTAAGGAGTACTACAACTGGCGAGGTCTGTGAGTGAGCAGAAGGAAAAGTCAGTGCAATTTTCAGGGTGACCTCAAGCTGTCTGCACTTCACCTAAGCCACTTCACCTGTCCCTGCTCCCTCTGCGGACTCTTCCATAATAAACCAGTCATTTCCTGCCGGCCCAGTGTCCATCCGCACCCAAGAAACTCACACCACACCTTCCCCACACACGGGATGAGTAATGTCCTCTGTAGACTTGGTGCCAATAAACACACCGTCATTAAAAAAACAAACTGCCTTTTCTCAATTCCAAACTCACTTCTATGTAACTTTTCCGTGCACTAATCCAATCCTGCATTGTCCCCTTTATGCTGTGCCTCACTTTTGCCTTATTACTATTCCTCAGGATTTGTAAGACTGGCTTCACACCTGAGGTCTTCATTCTGCCCACAAGTGCTTGTCTCCAGGGAGGAGTAAACATTGCTGGAAATAAACACTCCCATAAATCTACCTAACTCCCTCTTTGTAAGACTTGCTTGGTATCAGTGAAAGGATTCTATGCTAAATTTGCTATTATTATTCCTAATTCTAATTGAATGCCTACTATATTCCATGAAGTTTCACATAAATTATCTTTAATCTGTAGGAAAGCACATTTTTATACCTATTTTACAGATAGGAAAATAGAGCCTCATATATTTATGTAACTTTATACATTCACTCATCCAATATTTATCGAGGTACCCTCTTTGTGCCAGGCACTTGCCTGAAGTCATGGAGTTAATAAATGATAAAGGCAGGATTTAGACCTGCATCTGTCTCCATGCTCTGACCACTACAGCAAAGGAATCAGATAAAATTCTCAGTAAAGAATATAATTCTTCACTATGAATAATTGTGCTGATGAAAAAATATCCTGAACCCCCAAATTTACTTGGATTAACCTTCAATAAGGACAACTAAATGATCTTATGACCACGATAGTTTCAAACAGGATGAGCACATTTAATTATAACATTAAAAAATTAAATAACCTTAAATAATTTCATTTTACTTCATTTTTATCATGACATAGTACACTGAAAATTAAACCAAAATTCTAATCCACAGTGGAACACATAAAGAATGGTTATATGTTTACATAATGGGAAACAAAATGTATGAAAATGACTGAATATAGTTCTTTCATGATTGTATTTTTAAAGTTAACTTATATTTACTTAACTACTTTATTTTCCCCCCGTGGTGCCAGGGATCAAATCTCAGGCACGCTAGACAAATATTTCTCTACCCTGCCCAACAAACTAATATCTTGGTGTTATGCTGCTGAAGAAATTTTGGATACCGTATGGAGAAGCAAAAGTAGTAACTTACAAATGAGTACAGGAAAAAGGAAGGACTACTGAAGTATCTGAGTGTTTTTTTTTTTTTTTCCTACAGAGGATAGAGGGAAACTCAGCTCCAGTCAGGAAGAGCTGGGTATATATGCTTGGGCAGGCAGTGTAGTCTAAGGACAATGAGGTATGGGCTGTGATTCTTCTCTATACAATAGTTACGACTTATAGCACTTACTACTGGCATAAGTGTTAGCAAGCACCTTCATCTAAAGTGAGGGGGGAACTCCTCAGGGTCAGAGAGAAAAGAAGGCATTGCTTCATGTAACTGCACTATCTTCCTGGATTCTGGGGAGCGGGGAGCTAAAAAAAAACAAAACAAAAACCAAAGAAATCTCTAAATTTACCCTATCTCTCAGGCAACATCTTTGCTGTATCTACAATTGAGAGAGCCTCTAGTTTCCCAGTTTATTTCCACAGTTGTACCCTGAAAGGGAGCCTATTTATGGGCACTTTTTCAGCCACGCATCACAGCTGGTTGAAGTTCGCCTGCAGAGAGCCCTGTCCTCAACTACTACCTGCAGAATCTGGCTCTGCCCAAGTATCAAATGCGAACCCTTAATAACATTTAAGGAAATTTCTACCAGCTACCATTAATTATCAATCTGCACCTAGATTTTAAAATGTGAGCACACAAACAAATATCATCTGGCAATTGGTGGAAACCAATAGCATGAAAGTCACCAATTAACACAAAGAGAACAATTTCAGTTTCCCTACTCTTGTACCTGAAAACAAAATTAATTCAGAAAATCACTAAAAAAAATCTTAAAACATCATAGTTCTATCATGCAAGATTGAGGCTAATGCATCCTTAAAACAAGAACAAGTATCACTGTAAAACAAGAAATAGGAAAGACACTAGAAATTTAAAATATGCATATGTAATATTGTACATAAGCACGTAAGCACAGCATATACTTATACATGATGATAATATCTTGTTTCTGGAGGAAGAAAAAATCCATGGGATTAGAAAATATTTCACACCAAATGACAATACAATATGTCAAAGTTGTAGGGTGCAGTTACTGCACGTAAAAGCATAGCAGTAAACTGCACAGATTTGAAAAGAAAGGTTGAATATCAACTCCACCAAGAAACTAAAAAGAAGAATAAACATATTCAGAAAGTAGAAGAAAGGAAACAGTACAATTGAGAAGAGAAACAATACAGGAAAGAAATTTACAATACAAATTTCAGGTGCAGTGGCACATGCTGCAGTCCCAGCTGCTCAGGAGGCTGAAGCAGGAGGGTACATTGAGCCCAGGAGTTGGAGACCAATGTAGGCAACACAGTGAGGCTCCATCTAAAAACCAACAAGCCAAATCCGCCACACAAAAACCCTGCAGAAGTTATGTTGAAATGAATTTGAAAAGACTAACAACATTTTCTCAGCAAGAACAAAGAGGACACAACTTACACACCAGAAACTAAAGGGTATCATCACTACAGATCCTACAGATGGTAAAAAGATAGTGAAAATATGTAAGGAACAACTTGATATCAATAAATTTGAAAATATGGAGTAAATATCGAGAAAAGTCACAACTTACCAACACAGAAAAAGAAAACAAAGTTTGAAGAGACTTTCATTCATTAAATAAATTCAATTTACATAAAATACCCACAGAGAAAGCTTCAGATTCAGATGAATTTCACCAGAAGCTTACTCTAACATTAAGGAACGAATAATGGCAAATATATAACTGCTCATAAATAGAAAGAGATGAAATACTAGCCAATTTCTTTTATAAGATAGCACATCCTTTCTATAAAAATACAGTATAAGAACAATAAAATAAAATTACAGACCAACTCAGCTCATAAGTACAGACACAAAAATCTTCAAAACAATACAGAATATGGAATTTCTACCTGATACCATAACTGACACTATCAGGAACAACAAAACAATCCCACACAGATCATGAGCTATATGTGAAGGAAAAAAATAATAAAGTTTCTAAAAGAACATTAAGGGACAAATATTATGACCTTGGATTAGCCAAATATTTAAAAAGAGGACATCAAAGTCACTGCCCCAAAAGTGATTGATAAATTGTATTCCATGAAAATTAAAGCAGACATTTATCAAAATGTGTCACAAAGAGGGGAAAAGGCCAGCTGCATAATGGAAAAAGACATCTGCAGTGAATTTATCTGACCAATCAATTAGAAAGCAAATAGTTCAATTAAATATGGATAAAACCTGAATAAGTCCTTATAAAAGAAATATTAATATTTCAGAAAACAAAATATACTCATCGAAATGTCTAAAATTAGAAACAAAATCTGCAAATACCACATGTTGGTGAAGTGCACTCTTTTTACTCAGCTGGCACAAGTGTCAATTTGTACAACCATGTAAAACCACCTTGGAAACTGGAAGTACTTACTACAGTTAAACACATTCCTAGTCTATGACCTATGACCCTATGCCCAAATGTATACTCTACAGAAGTGTGTGCATATGTGTGTTCATAAAAGCATAACAGCATAATTCATAATAGCCCCAAATGGAAAATTATTTGATATCCATAAACAATTAAATGCACATGGAATTGTAAAATATTTATGCAATGAATTAACTGCACAGAATGACAAGGAACGGATTAGAATGTGCTATACGCAAACCTGAGAGAATCCCACAAACATGTTAATATGCACAAGAAGCCAGACAACAAAGAGTATATTGAAAGGGTCCATTTATGTAATTTAAACACATAAAAGGCCTCCATGGGGAAGGCAGTATAGGGGCTGCTTCTGGAAGTTAACAGGGAGAACACAAGAGGAAGTTTTTGGGGTTCTGGTAATGTTCTGTCTTACTCTGGGTGGTAGTTACAGTTACATGTTTGCTTCATAAAAATAAGCTATACACTCATGATTTGTGCACTTTTTTGTCTGTGCAATTCAATAACTTTCCCCAAAAACCTTAAAATTAAAAATGCATTCTTGATAAATGAAGAATTTTACTATATACCTAGATGAGAAGGCTCACTATTATAAATGTTTAATTTCTTCAAGAAAACTTTATCTCAGTGTAACTAGTTAAAATTCCCCCTTTTTGTCATTATCATCAGGTTGATTCTAAAGTTTAAGACAGTTAACACGCACAAAACAAGAGAGTAATTTTGAAAATAATCAGGCCTTGCCTTGAAAGACATAAATATGTCGTATCAGACTGCAGTATTTTAAACTGTAAATTACTGAGCTATGGGTATAGAAATAAATGAACAAAGCCAGGTACAAAACCCAGGACTGAGGGAGGGTAAGACAAGAGGGCTGCAAGTTCAAGTCCCGCCTGGGCAATTTATGGAGACCTTGTCTCAAAATAGAAAAAAAAAAAAAAAAGTCAGGGAATGCAGCTCACTAATAGAGTGCCCCTGAGTTTATCCTCAGAGGGGGAGAAGGGAAGGAAAGAAAGAAAAAAGAAGGGAAGCAAGGAAAGAAGGAATTAAAGTTACAACAGTGAGACCAGAAAAATAAGTAAATATACAAATTGTTGCGGATAGGATGGACTCCTCAATAAATGATTTAAGAGCCAGGGATTTAGCTCAGTGGTGCCACCACCTGTCTCACAAGCACAAGGTCCTGAAACTGATCCCCGGTACCAAAACAAACAAACAAAGTCTAAGATATAGAGTTGGAGAGACCAAAACAAATTTAGATTTCTGTTTCATACTGCACATACATAAAACTATATGTCTAGCTCAGTAGGGTAGCACACAACTGTAATCCCAGCACTCAGGAAGCTGAGGCAGGTGAGACCTTGTCTCAAAAAACAAAACAAACCATACCAAAAAACCAAAGCATTCCACATTTCTAGATATATATATATATAGATAGATAGATATAGATATAGATATATCTATAGATATATTTCTTTTTAAAGACAGGATCTCACTATGTAGTCTAGGCTGGTCTCAACTCACAGCGATCCTCCTGCCTCAGCCTCCCGAGTGCTGGGATTACAGGTGTGCACCACCACGCCCAGCTTCTAGATAACTTTTTTTTTTTTTTAAAGCTGTTTCCATAAAGACAATTTTCATGATTTTGGGAGTGGGGGAAAGAAAGCCTTTCTCAGCATGACAAAACCCAAAAGGTATACACAAACATGCTACCTGCAGTGAAACACATCTGCAATCTCAGCAGCTCAGAAGAGTCAGGTGGGAGGATCTCAAGCTTGAAGCCAGCCTGGGCAATTGAGTGAGACCCTATTTCTAAATATAAAAACAAGAAAAGGCTGGGGATGTAGTTCAGTGGTATAGCGTGCTTGCCTAGCAGGCACAAGTCCCTGGGTTCAATCTTCAGTACTGAAAAACAAAATCATACAAATTATTTCTGTGTGTGACCTATTCTTTTTTTAGTACATGTTTGTAGTAAAACATGTTTACATTCCTTGTGGGGAAATGGTACATGTAAAAAAGGCAGTAAAGAAAAACGGAGAAATACTTATAAAACACTGACAAAGGACATATAAAAAGCTTTCACGAATCAATGAGAAAACGATAACTCACTAGAAAATGGACCCAGGGTATGACAGGCAATTATTCATAGGAGAATGCAAATAAAGAAACACATTAATAATAGCCAGACATCATCATTACAATGACATATATTTCACTTATAAGATTTGCAAAAATACAAGAAAGCTCCATATCTAAATATTGCCCAGGATGTGAGGGGAATCACATTCCTGACTGATATTAAATGATGCCTACTTCCGTACAAGTTTTTGAGAGGCAAGTTTAGCTCAATGCAGAAATACACAAGTGTGCAAAGATAAATGAGCAAAGATGTTCACTAAAAACCCGTTAGCAGAATGATTAAAGAATTACATACTGTATATATTTACATGCATCTTTAAAATTATGCTACCTTCCACATGCTTACTTTTTTTTTGGTACCAGGGACTGAACTCAAGACCTTGTGTTTGGGAGGCAGGCGCAGCACCACTGAGCCAAATTCCCAGCCCATTCCACATGCTTACTTGAAAAAGGTCCATACCATGATTTCAATATTTACTTTAAGATAATATGCATAACATGATTCCATTCTTAATAAGAAAACTAAAATGATCTATTTATAATTGCACAGAAAAAATCTGAAAGGCTACACATCACGTTAGTAATTAGCTCTGTGGGGCTCTCAGTTTTATGGTAAGTATGAGAATATTATTTTCACATATAAAAATCATTAGGTGTTTGGAAATATGTAGGAAACATAAATAAAATGTTTTTTTTTTTTAATTTGGCCCCAAAATTCTTCTTTTAGAAATTTATCCTAAGGAGAAGGGGATTACTATGAAGGGGGGATATATAATCAAAGAAGGTTCTAGGAGGTTCTATGCATGTATAAAAATGCCACCATGACACTTGTTATTCTGTATAACTAATATGCACTAATAAAAGAGAAATAGGTAAATTTATAAAAATGAAAAACTAGAAGCAGTCAATCCAACAAAAAAGCTGTAAAATAGATCTTGGCATGTCTGGGCAATGGAAATAACAATCCACTTTCAAATACTAAAGTTCTTCTACAAACATACAAAATAAATAGTTTAATTAAAATTGTTTGAAGTATATGTATGAATGCAAAAATTCCAAATTAAAACACCAGAAATTTTAAAAGTTTGGTTGTTGTTGTTTTTCTGAGACCGGGTCTTGCTATGTAGTTCAGGCTAGCCTTGAACTATGTAACCCAGGCTGGCCTCAAACTTGCAGTGATCCTCCTGACTCAGCCCCCTAAGTGCTAGCATTACAGTCATGTGCCACCATGCCTAATTCTAAAAGTTTTTAATGTATGGGTAATGAAGAGTCCTCTGGTTTTTACTTCCCATTTTATTTGCCAAATTATTCACAACAAATATTTATTTAGGTTTAGCTTTTTTGGGGGGGGCAGGGTCCTACTAAATTGCCCACCCAGGCTGGCCTCAGCCTCTGAGTAGCCAGGCATATACATAGGCATATACCACACCTGGCTAATGCCTTAGCATTTTTAAAGCATTATAAATCTTAAAAAAGCAAATGCTGGTTTAACTTTTTAAGTTCACTCTGTGAAAATGTTTGCCATCAAATTCAGTGTTTCCTTTTAAAACTATCTCGAGATACTGAAGCATTAAGTATTTATATGAGATATCTTGCAAACTAAAGTAGTATTCTACAAAAATAGTTATTTCTATTTGGAATGCTTAGCTGTAAAGAAAGACTGGTGGAGGGAGGGCAGGGACAAGGGGAAAAAAGGAGACCCAAGATCTGTCATGTAAAGGTACAAGATCCCAATAATGAATGTAACTGTACTGTATACCTAAAATGTACCAATAAACTCAATGAGAAAAAAAAAAAAAAAAGACTGGAGGGTTATTCAGACCTGAAAAATATATTTGTACTTTTGCAAAATAACTATGAAAGACAGAGTGTTGTATTTGCAGCTATTTAACATTTTTATTATTAAAGTTTAGGATTACAACAGAGATGTCTAAAATCAATCAACTTAATTATAATTATTTAGGTAACCATTCCTGTTCTGCTCAAAGAACATTGGTAAATGTGCTAAATGTAACATATGGAGATTTATATCTGACTAAATAATTTTCCTAATAATAAGGATGTCTAGGATTTGATGTCTATTTAGTTTTGCATATTTTTTTACCTCATTAAAAAAAAGCAACTAAGGATTGCTGGAGGTGAAGAAAAATGACCAATAGAAGTCTAGAGACAGACGGTATTGAGTTCATTGTTTGCAGTGGGGTTTTCTGCTCCACAAACAGGATTTTCAGGCTTGGGCTATAGGAAGCTGTGATTAAGTCAGCTACAGATCTTTTACTGGAGAGTTTTATTACACTATGGGCTATGTTTAAGCAATCACTTGAGAAACACTTTCCCTCCAGGACTGCACCCTCCTCCACGGTCAGAAACAACACTGTGTGGAATGCCTGGCTGAGAATGAACTGCCTATATCCTGGGGCCACTGCAGAGCACAGGTTAGCAATTTTTTTTTTTCAAAATGTGGTTTGATTTTTTGATTGTTCATTGTAGCTATAAAAATCAGCAAGCTTTGCAGAAAACAATTTATTAAATGAAGACTGGTCATTTACTCAAATACAGAGAAAATACTGATTGAAGCATGCTCTCATTATAGAGACTTTATTGACACTCATTACTGATTTTATTGGGGTGTTTTTCTTATTTTCCTAAATTTTAGGCTTACCAACAAATGCTGGAAATAATAGAAAAATACATTACATTAGAGGTAAACATTGTACACACAATGGAGACTCCTGGGACACAAAACTAGGAGTTTATTTAGAGCACAAATATACAGACAAATATGAAGCAAAACAGTGAACTGATAAACATGAAAACATCTCAGTGTAAAAGATCAGTGTGCAACAAAATAAAAATGAAATCAATAGTATATATTCTTAGTAATGAAAACGGTTTATATTACAAATATCAACGGGCAGAGTATTATTGACCATCAGTCAAATATCTTAACATATTAACATAACTTCCCCCATTACAAATCACTTTTCTTCTTCCTTTCACAAATAATAGTAGCAGCTTAAAGAAGTTTTAAGATATGATTTCAGTGAAACTGATACACAAGTCTTTTTTCACATAAATCATTTAAACGCTAAGTGGTGAGAAATGACCATTTCCTGAATTAGGTAGAAGCAAATGCACCCTTGAAGGACAGTACTGAACTATATTGTTTCATTTTTTTTTCTAAGCATTGTGATGATTATATTTTAAACAGATGTCTGGCCTTAAATTTTAGTGCCTAAATTGATAAATCTAACTTTTTCTTTCCAATTTCTAAGAGTAAAATGAACCTTAAACATACTTTTATAAGATGGAAGCCCTCATCGAAGTTGAGCACAGAACTGATTCTTCTAAACCATGAACACTCTTCATTTTAACAGCTAAATGAGTAACACACGGTGATTCTACTGAATCCAAAATGTATCCAGTTATTCTCTCACCAGGTTTCAGGTCTATGGGGTTATAATTACAATTTCACTTAAAAGGTACAAACTATTACTCATCAGGGGACTAATCTGGCAAATCTATCTGTAAATTTAGCAGTTAAAACACTTAAAGTCATGGGAAAAAATGGAAACTTCAAATTAGAAACCTCACAAACATATATGTATTATTTGATTAAAAAACTCTTAGGCATAGAGATAATAAGACAGGCATAGAAGACCTATGGGTGACAAATAAATACAAGAACAGAACTCAAACACATGTTCCCCATACTATCTAATAGAAATAATTAATCATCAGGATATATCATGCCATAATCTTTGGTGTCCAAAATTAAAAAGAAATTCTTGGTACAAAGGCTTTGCCTGGAAATTCCCAATGCAGGAATAAAAAAATAAAAAAATAAAAAAATTTCTGTGAGACTCTGGGGGCCAAGGGACAAAGACAGAGCTTCTAAAGACCATACTTAATTGAATTTCTTTTATTGCTTTATCACCACCTCATTGCAGGGTGAATGTTTAAAAGCATATTGTGAAGAAAAGGCTCACAGATAAAATCTTTCTTTTCCTCTAAGCAAAGAAGTGGCAGGGGACCTTGATGAATTAGTTTTAATATTCTTAGAATTAAATCTGTAATTTCAGCAGCAATGTGTTCCAATACAGTATTGGCTGTGGCTATGTATCTGACAATCACACAAAAAGTTTCCATATAATCAGGAGATTATCCCTTCATTAAAGGAGTCTTGTCATTATAAACTCATTGAACCAACAGAAGGAAATCTTGCACCAAGTGAGGTGTTTTGGCATGTTGGTTTTGAGGAAGCAGTCTTCTTTTTGTAATATTTTATGACAATTTTCCCTCCATTTCAAAAGCGTATAAATGTAATGATATTTTCCATGTTAAAATTTAACAAAGTATAGTAGTTAACCTGTTAAGACAATCTTCTCTCTACATTCAGAATTTGTATGGAACTGCTGACACAGATGGGAAACAACAGGAGCTGAAATAAACAGATGAACTTGAAAAAATCCGGGAGGACATAAGGCAACCAAATATGTTAAATAAATCCATGCAAATACTAAATGTCAAAATTAACATTTGGGAACTGTGAGGTTTCAATGGTCCTTTATAAATTAAAAAAAATTCTTATTTAATGCAATTCAAAGAAGACATGATAACCAACCAAGGTAATGTATGAACCTCGCAGTCTTCTACTGTTATACTGCTCAGCCTAAAAATATCTACATGAAAGAAAACTATGTTGTTCTATTTGTCTCTATTTATTTTTTCTGTAAGGTCAAGTGTCTGAAGAAGAAAATTAGATTTAAAATCCTAGGATAAGAAGTACTTGGAAAACGTTAGAATTCTTGTTTTCTTTCCCTTTTTGCAAATGTTTCACTTTCAGAATTGGGAACGTGTGGAATGATATATAATGAAACAAAGATTTTCAAGTTTGGCACCACTTAACAACTGTAATATTTCCTTCTGTAGAGGCCATTAAGTGCGGCTCAAAATATTAACCAACTAAGCACATACTTTCTCAAGCCACACATACTGACGTTGACTGGCACAGCCTTTTAGCACAGTTTGTCACTTGAACTACAGGAAGTGATAGCAGCAATGGTTAACAATTCCACATAAACACAAACACATATGAAAGAGCACCTATAACAACATGCAAAACCTCAACAGTGACATCACTATTACACAATGCATAGAAACTGTAATGGTTTTTGGCAAGATTTTTCTTTTTTTATAACAAATACTTTATAAAACAAAAGTTCTTCATTATAAATGCTATTTAAAAAGTTGTAATATAATGAATTATTGGTATAAAAGTTCAGTTAATCTGGGTGGATTAACACTAAACGTGGACTTACTTTTCATTCAGTATAATCAATTATAAATTAATTTTTAGTGGAAGTATACTGATATTTGATTTATAAAATGTAAAAATTACAAAAAATAAACAAGCATAAAATCACTAAAATATTATATGCACAATTAGTATTCTATATTGCTGATGCCTTTTTAATTCTATATATCACAAATAAATTATGTCAAAGCATTTTCAAAGCTCTGATTAAAATCAATTTAAAATGGTAAAAATGTTTTTTAATTCCAGTGTAATACCAAGATTCACATTAGACTAGCAAAATTCAGCATTCCATAAAAGACAAATAATTACATTGTATCCTTTTAACATCCTAGTATTTGACTTTAAAAATTATGAACCGATAGGTATAGTTTATAAAGTAAAATTTTCTGGAATTTCTCACATTTGTTTGAATTCCTTTTCAGAAGAAAAAGCAAGATGTGAGAAATATATTTTGTATTTCTACATCTTCCAGCTGTAGGCCTCTTTAACTGGCTACTATGTTCCCTTTACTATCTCTAAATAAATTCACTTCAGATCCATCCTCATTAGAAATTTGAACTTCTTGACTGAGAATATGTTCAAAACTTTCAAATATGATTTTAACAAAAATCTTCCAAAGACTAAAAGAAGGTATTGTGGCCTGAATCCAAAACCAGTAATATAGTTATTACGTAGCTGGATGTCCAATAAATATCAAATTAAACAAAGTTAGTTTTTAGTACATGACCTATCATTGGAATTCAAATACTTGAAGAATGTGGATATTGTGTTTTCCTTTCATAACTGAAGACAAAATATGAGGTAGGCTGAGAGATATCTGTCAGAGTAAAAGAAAACAATCATGTTCAGAGATTATCCTAACAAATTTCAGATCATAATGACAAACGGTTAAAATAAAGATACAACACTGCACAATCAAAATTGAAATTTCATATTCAAAAATAGCCCGTTTGGAAACTAGCAGCTTGAATCTACTAATAAAAATGATGTTTTAAAAAAAATTAACAGTTGGAAAATAAGCAAGATACTCTTTCCTAACTCATGGTTAACTTCATGTAGAGTTGTTTTTCCTTCCTAAATTCTTATCATTCCTTTATTTACATGTGGATAGGAAATCAGAAAGTGCCTGGGTTCTCATCCTGGCTCCAACCTAACAAGGTAAGAACATCTCATCTCTTTGGGGATGTTTTCTCATCTGTAAAAGAGTGGATTAGATGTTTCCAATCTTACTTTCTAGCCAGCACACCTGAAAGATATACCGAACAGAGGTAACAGCAGCTCAGTTTAGTCTCAAAGGAAGGCAGGACAGGACATAAGTCGTGGGGAATGTATTTGAAGATATGTTCTCTTTACTGTTTCCATCTTTTTGCCCTCCCACCCCCAGGAGGACATTGTACCCTGTACTCAGCATTGGAAATCACTGGACTAGATCACCTGTTGAGTCTTTCCCAGGGATACCCTCTATGATTATAATTCAATAAAGCAATGATTTACATTAATACTATGAGAATTAATATTCTGATCATATTAGGGCTCTAATTAATATTGTCTGATTCCAATTCAACAGTCACAACTTACATAAAACTCAATTTAATGTATTAAAATGCTATCTTTTAAAGAAATACAATCTTCAATACCAAATCAGGTCTTCAGTCAACTTTGATAATTTACAAAAAGCTGGGCCATGAGAAATTTTGAGAAAGTAAACTGAGAGTTGTTGGCAGCTTGTCAATGGCCTTTTTTTTCTGTTGTTGTGTAACTAGATATACACCAAGCCATTAATAGGGTATCTGCAATATTTTTTTAATCTAGGTTCTATTTGATGATAAGGAAAATTTTACTTTTCTAGCTCTGTTACTTTGCCTTATGTAAAACTATGTGCTCATATCACCTCAGCCAGATATAAAAGGGGAGAATAGCAATGTTTGAATATTATACATACAATAATTTTTGGGATGCCCTGCCAATGGTCTATCTGTATATCATATCATACCATGGATGTGCAGAGATATACCTTGGATAAATAAATTCTATTTGGGAAAAATTTATTAAACTGATAGCAAATTACTACTTTTTTTCTGGCTCTAGGTATTAAATCTAGGGCTTCACATACTTTACTGAGAAGCTATATACCCCTGCCCTGTAACTTTGTAATGAATGAATCTTTAAAAAATATCTTTCTGGGTTTTTTTTTTTTTTTTTTTTTTTGGTATCAGGGATCAAACTCAGGACCTTACAGTTACAAGGCAGGTGGGGCAGCACCACTGAGCTAAATCCCCGGTCCCTTTAAAAATATCTTACTGCAATAAATTGTCATACACTCTTACACTCTCCTCTTGTTTTTTTTTTCTCTAGGCTTGGAAACTTATTTCCTTTATTATATGATAGTTTTTTAAAAGATTTGTGCTAAGTATTACAACTTTATTTTGGCTAGAGAAATAAAGATCAAATATATACCTTTCCTTTAGAGAAAATAGCCAGAAGTGATTTAAAATCAGAAATGTTTCTTTAATATTATATAGTGGATATAATCAAATTAGAAAACATCTGGATGGTTTTACAGTCTATTTCTAACTATGAAAATCGTAAAGATCGTATTTTGTCCCAGGGTTTTCTGCAACAGCAATCATAATTACTTAGGAAAACAAAAACTATAATAACAAAATGCTCTATTAAGTAATCAATTTGCTGGTTCCAAATTTGCAGGTGAGACCAAACTCTGACAAACTGAAAACCAATACATAGTACCTGGTCGGTGGTAATATCGGTTTATGGGTTTGAGAGAGGCATTCTCTCTGACTAGAATATCCCTTGCCTTGTATGAATTATAAGGAACTCTCCTGTAAATGGGTTTTGGCTTTACTTGGGGTAAAGCAAAGATCAATCACATATATCATTTCTTGTGCACATACAAACACCTCTATGGCAAAGTTATGTGTTCTTTAAAGAGTGACACAAAATTCTGCTCTCTGCTAGTGGCCAGAAGAAATAAACTCTGTTGCATGTCTCATTTTAAAGTAAGTATTTTAACAGGGCCTAAATATTATGGTGCTCACAAACATGGTAGCTCATAATGTGATCACTATCAGTTCAGAGTTAAATGAATAGTAATGATTTTATTACACCAGGTATTTCATTACAATTTATCACTTCAGAAGGCCTACCGTAGAAGCACAAGCAAACCACTCCTCAAACAAGTCGATACCACAGAAAAGGTCAGGGCTTAGAGGAACCAGGATCTAGTTTCAGACAGTGATGTTCCTATGCATTAACTGTGACATGAGTAACCCATTTGGCCGCTCTGATTTCCTCATTTACAAAAGAGAAACAATGATCTTTACCTAAAGCGACTACTGTCAAAATTAAGAGAAACAACTTATAAAAGCACTCAGTAGAAGGCTATAGTGTACTTCACAAGAGTTGTGGATGACAAATCTGTACACAACAGATGATAACAGAAATGGCTTATTTTCTCATTGATTTTAAAATGGGCTTTAAGGAAGAGTTTCAGCAAAATATTCAAAGCAGTGTTAATATTCTGCAGCAAATCCACATATTTACTGAATAAATAATAACAGACAAATTTTAGGAGTGCAAAGTTTGGGAGACTGAAATAGTTCGGGCATAGAATTTGCTGGGCTCTCAAAAATGAAACGTTAGTCTTTTATGACATTTTTTAAGAATAGGGACTATTTTATATATCTTTATATTCTTCCCAGTGTCTAGATTCTAGCTGCCTAATAATTATGTGCTTATGTGACTATCAATTACCTCAATGAAGTCATTGATTGCATGGCATCTGGAAGGTAAATCACATAACTCTGACAAGTTAACACCACAAAAGTTTCAGCTAATAAGGGTCTAGGAAAGCCAGTGACCTGATCTATACCAGAAAAATTTTGGACTATTCTTTGGACCGTCAAGCAATTATTTAACGTTGGAAAAAATTTAACATGGGGAAAATAATTATAAAATAAATATTTAAATGATAGGGGACACAGCTCATGGTAGAGCACTTGCCTAGCATGTGTGAGGCCATGGGGTTCAATTCTTAGTACTGAAATTTTTTTTTTGAGACAGGGTCTCACTATGTAGTTGAGACTGACCTGAGACTCACTATGTAGCCCAGGCTGGTCTCAAACTCACAGCAATCCTCCTGCCTCAGCCTCCTGAGTGCTAAGATTACAGGCATGCCCAGCTAAAAATTTTTTAAAAAATAAATACTTCAAATACACCATATTTGGAATAGAATGATTTTAATAGAGTCTTAAGAATAAGTCATCTTGGATAAATATTCTGAATCCCTTTTCAAATACCATATTTTGTTTTTTTTTAAATTGCTAACATTTATGGTTTGCAAGAGCCAGTTTGTTATATGAGTATAAAACAAAAACTGAATTATACAGCTATGTCATCTGAATGCTGACAGATGGGCTCAGTGTTTCCGTTGTAGAAAATTTAAAATTTCTAGAGTTCTGTGAGGAACACTGGAGAATGTCTTACATGGCATTACATTGTTCTTAATGTGTAAACTCTGCAAATATGGTTTTGTTGCTTATGCGCAGACCACACTGTTGCCTGAAAAGGCAACACAATGTGCTGTAGTGAACCCTAGGGAATGTTGAACTTTCCCCTAAAACACATATCTGATTTTGGCAGCTATACCTGCCACAGTGAAAAATGATTATTATTACTTTTTTGGTAAGTTAAAATTCCAAATAATAAAAATAGCCTCTGGCAATTATATGTCCTCAGTATTGTTTAGATAAAAATACTGGGGCTGGGGATTTGGCTCAGTGACACCACACTTGACTTGCAAGGTCCTGAGTCTAATCCCCAGTACCGGGGTGGCGGGAGCAAAAT